GAATTCTGGGAGGTACTCTGAACAGTAGTGATGTACACATGTAATGTGTATATACATACATACATACATACATACATACATACATACATACATACATACGGCTCAAGCCATTTTGGCTCAAGCTGTTTCAGCCTCAAGCACGGTGGCTCTCAGCCTCCGTGCATCCTCACCTACCAGATCACCACAAGTCCGAAGGTCTCTCTGGCCAGAACGAGCTCGGTGAGGTGATCCCATGACTTCAAGAGGTGACAGCTTTTGTCGGACCTACCAGGTCTGTGGAGGCGCGAGCTGCTTTAATTGGATATGGGCTGACAAGATCCGTGAAGGATATGTCTGCCGTCGTTGCGGGGAGACATGGGCACGACCTCCTCAAGGCTACTCGCAGGCCCCACCGTCCAGGTCACCGAAAAGGACAGGTCGTCAGCAGCTTCCTGTCAAGCCTCCTCCAGGCCTTGGCAACAAGCCCCACAAGGTCACCAGGATCCAAAAGGCCACAGCTGAAGTTTTGGCGCCAGCCTGGTCATCGTTGGACCAGGCTCTACAACAGAAGCTTCAGGATCTTGGCATCCAGCCACCTCCGCCTAATCCTGGCCCTGACCTCAAGGACGTCTTGGTGGAGAACATGGCACAGCTCCCACCACAGGTCAGGGAGTTGGTTGAGAAATTGACGAAGCCCTCTCCACCCACCGAAAAGGACATTGCGTCTGAGCTCAAGACGCAGGTCTCCCTCCTGAAGGACCTTCTCCAACAGAAGATTGACTCCACTAAGCGGGCCTATCAAGACTTGCTGGAGGAGATGAAGGCTATCCAAGGGAGGATTGAAACTGAACAGCAGGCTTTGACCACCACCAGTGCCTCGTACATGACTCTGGTTAGCTCAGCAAAGACTGATTTGGAAGTTTTGCCGGATGCGGAGACAGGCGACCCAGTGCCTGCCGCTGTAGCCGGGTTTATCACCACTCTTGGTGTCAGTCTGACCGAGGAGCAGCAAAACCAGCTTCAGAGCATGTTGAAACGGCCTCCCACCTCAACAGATGAAGAGGCTAAGAGACGCAAGAAGGAGGTTACTGAGGTCCAGTCGTGCGGGTAACCCGCCCTTGGTGCTTGGATTGCTCGAGACACTTCATGAGGGGCATCAGACATGTGCACAACATGCAGGGGTTTCTTTCACTGATTGTGGGGTTTGTCACAATCAACCGCCTTTGGCCGCTTCAGGCTCAAGCTTGGCCTCTCCGCGGGGTTTGGAGGGCTATGGGCCTCAGAGGCGGCGCTCTTCTTTGAAAGTTTTGGGAGGCAGTCTCCCTCGACAGCCTGGCGAGCTCCGAGGGGGCGGTGAGGCACTGGGTTCTTCTACCTCAGAGCGGGCCCCACGGGGTACCGCTTCCTCCAGGACCTCACCTGTCCCCTCCTTAGCTCAAGTGCTGCTGGAGGCTATGGAGTCGGAGCGTGCCTCAGACCTGGACTCCAATCAGGTCTTCTATTTTGACTTGTGTCAACAAGATCTTCTGGCTGCTAGTCAGACATATCGGACAACTGGGCTGGCGCATCATGGCCAGCAGCTGCTGACCGATCTGAGGAGGATGCACAATCTGGTGCATCAACATCTCTGTCTACCGGGGGATCTCAGGCCGCCATTGGCCAATGTCTACGTGATCTCACAGGTTTTGACCACCATTTTGGACAACCCTGATGGCCTGAACTTGTGTTTTGGCAACGCCCCTTTCCGCTGCTGGTGTTGGAGTGGGGCCTTTGCAGAGGACGCCGCCACTGCCTGGGGTCACACCCAAACAGCGGTACGAAGGTGTCTTTCGGAGTCACAAGGACAGCTCCTCTCAGAGAACCCTGATCTTCAGAGCCTCTGGGCGCATTTCCCTTCGGGTCATCAAGCCGATGCGGCGGACTTTGTGGGGTTTTTGTGGGCCCAGTCGGATTCCACCTTCTACGGAGGGAAGTTCTACCACCGGAGGCTTCAAGGCACTATGGAAATCCGCGAGCAGATGCCCTTGAACTTGATATTTCCCCTAGGTGAACATAGCCTCACGCTGGATGAGCTAGTGTGCCAATGGGCAGACGAAGAAGGGGGTCAGTTTCTCTACGGCGCGAGGTTCTTCAACTTTGGCTCGTCAAAGAACCGCCGGACACCCTGGTGGAGGACACTCAGGCTGACTACATTGGGCCACCGGCCAAGAAGGCCAGGCAAGCATTTGAAACCATCTCCATCCTCTATGGCAACGTCACACAGTTT